ATCGTTACATCCACTTAAACCGATTCTTCAGTCTACCCTCATGGACTATCGAACGACAAAGTTGACCAGAACACACCAATCCGAAACAGGATGCACGTCATGTCTGGTGACTTCCATGAAGCCGCGGTTGCCACGGCATTGGGATTTTGGTTTGTGACGAAAAGAACCAACTCTGCCGCCAAGGCGGACATTTTGCTTGTTCGCAAGTGCTAGCTCCAGCTCTTCGGGGTCCGCTTGCAAGACCGCAGCCAGCACCCTACTCCATTTGTAAGCCGTGTTGCCGCTACGGACTGTGCATATGTGGAGTCTTCGGTGTTCTTGTTTAGGACACCCATCAGCAATGGCTGTTCACTCCAGGGGTCGTCCCGCACGATCAAAGCTATCAATCTTGCGGTATCATGTATGGCTCATACTCAATCACATTAGGTTTGCCCCCTCCTTACGTCTCCATGGAAGTCTCTGCAACCAGGGTACGGGCTCAGGGGGCATTCGTCATAGCCACAAGCTAGCGGAGGAAGAAGCCCCTAATCCCGAGCCATCGAAATAGCTTCATCTGCGGGCTGACGATGGCGGCAGGCGGCGCAAATCACAGCCCAACGGATCAAACCCACCACTAGGAGGCCGTCTCCAGACTCCCACCCACCGGCGGCAGAGCGGGAGTGGATGTCAGCAGGGCCGGAACCCCTTCGATTGGTTCTTCCTCATATCCGCAATTTCTAGAACCTGCCATCTTCGTGTATGAGACGCTAGCATCACAGTGGTTGCGCCCTGGAGTGTTATCAGAGAAACCGAGATTCAGGAGACTGCAGGACTCCGTTACACACCGCAGCCCTGTCGGCCGCTTCCTCGCACCCGAGCCAGCGATGGAGTACGGATAGGCGGTTCACGGGTGAGGCGGCGGCATTGTACCGCGTAAGCGGGAGTTACATCGCCAATCTCCTCGACCGAACGGTGTCCGACGCGGCATGTAACGCCAAGCCGTACAAACAAGCTCACGCCAGATTCGCCAAAGATACGAGAACGCGTGCGAATCAGCCTCAAGGGAGGCTACACCCATCACCCTAGACAAGCAACAACTTTGGAAGCATACTTGATAAGCTCGGATACGACATCGCAGTTGCCAGTGGAGCGACCAGCTTCTTCGACTCCTCTCAGACCAATCAACATCCCTTGTTCTCCAGGCTGGCCTGACGCCCACAGACGCATAGTGCAACAATTCCCCTTACGGATACTCGCTATTTATCACGGATACAAGCCACCAAAGAATGCATCTATGAGAGCAGACGGTTTGTCCGGAGGAGGGTGCGTGAATCTAAGAAAACAATCAATGTGAGTTATGCAGACCTCGAAAGCAAGATAGGCCCCTGAGAAGAGGCTTGCTTGAGGAAGGTGGAGTTGATACGATAGACCATCGATTTTCCTTGCAGTAGAAACAATCCGAGAGCTTATCGATTGGGTTCTTCAGAGAAGCGGATATCTCTCCACAAACACCAATGCCGAAGTCTACCGCCTAGTTGGTCAACTTGACGTGGTTTTCAACCTCAGGCCAGGACTTCCAAGCGGAAGGGGGAGACAACAATTGCTTGACGATTGCTGAGTGAGCACGAAGACGAGTTCTGAAACGGGCCCAGAAAGTTGTTGAGAGACGAGAAGAGTAAGTTACTACAATTATGAAAGACTAAAGTGCAATTCCGGCGTAACTTTAAAACCTCCAAGTTGCGCCACCATCGGTGGTTCCCAGATGTTACTACATCACTACCACCTCCTTTTTTCCAGCGCAACTTGTACTTCCGTTTCTTCCTCTCCCCTTTTCGCCACTGATCAATCGCTCTTCTATACATGAAGCCGTTGAGACAAGCATCTCCCACATAGCGGTAACCCCCGTCACTCTGTTCCGGACGGATGATGATAGGGGTAGAGCAACCAAACGGCACAATAATGGCATCACCGACAGCCATATAGCCTGAACCCATCCCGAGGTGGCCTTCGCTTGTGACGTAGAAGCAACGTCCTCTTATACGATCTCCAAAGTGTTCTTGGATAATGTCGGATTGGAAGTCCAATTCGACCTCGAGGCAGCGCAGGGGCCACCTATCGACCGTATAGTCGATTATCGCGGCCTACCCAACCTGCGGTTGGAACCTCCTTTTTACACCTACGCAGCAGAATTATATAGTCAATTGACCTACTCCGTCAACCCACGGTTCGAACCAATCAACCAATATCCCTGTGATAGGGATACCAACAGATAAACTGTCGTCGATCCGGTGGTTCGATCGTTGTTGTAACGTTGACGTGTTTCTTAAGTTCTCGGTCAAGAGTGAGCTCAGGCAGACATTCCCGCAGCAATAATGTAAAGATGTGGTTGCAAGCCGTTACCCACTCCTCAGGAGTTTTCACCTCTGGTGGTATGAAGAGCCCAGCCCTCGTGAAGCCACGTGGTTTTCGTATATAGAATCTAAGCTAAAGAAAAAAGGATTTCAAGTAGGGCTTTTATAGAGAAGAGAAATTTAAACAGACTTTTACAAAATTAATATAATAAATTATAATTATGTCAGTTTTACCGAGTTAATAAGAACACCATGTTTAGTAGGTTGAGAAATTTGTTAATCCGAGGTGATTTGGGCTGACCTTCGATTGATGAACTTGTATCTCTAAAAGTAGCACAATATCGTTGGGTGATCTAGGAAGCATACCGGATGCAATGCTTTTAGTCATGCGGGGATTGGATTTATGTAAGACTCTCCTACTAAGAGCTGTGAAAAGAGTAGATAGATTACAATGCTGTGCTCCTTTCACAGAGCTGGTCGGTCTTCTACAGGCGGTCTGTGCTCGACAGAAGGGGACAATATCAGTCAGTGGTGGTAGGAGATATTGCGATAGGGCAGTAAACGCGAAGAGGTTGGATGGACTAAGTAGGAGTCTTAGGAGAATGATTTGAAGGCAGAGTAATAAGTTTATTCATGACTAGTGAGAACTGGTGCTTGCTCAGGAGGAACTCGCAATATGACTCCCTGTAACAGCGTAACCCGCCAACAGTGGGGACGATCACGAACGTAGTACGCGCCAAGTGAAAGTGTGATTTAAATCACTGCAGAGCCTACCACCAGCACTTGGAAGCGGCACGACGGCCATGTCTGCAGATTCAACTGACCAAAGCGACCCGTGCTGGTGTCATCCCACCTCTCACTCCTGTCACCAAGGCTGTTTGTGAACCAAATTACAACTGCAGTCTTTTGCGCCATGAACACTGGCTGATCTTCTAGGCTATTGCTTGACTCTCTACTCCTATCTCAGCTCAGTTGGCTCAGATTAAGAGACCGGCTTCGCGGTAGATGAGGGTTCTGGTAGCCCAAAGTCCGGATCGATATCAGCCTCCGTTGGGTCGGTCTCACATTCGCCACTCTCTACCGGCACGTTGGTGTATAGAGCGTCGCTGTACGCGGCATCAAGCGTGCCCTGGAAATTCGCATCGTTGAAGGGGACCTGCGTGTGCTCGTATTGAATTCCGTTTAGCTGTTGCTGTGCAAGCTGAGGGAGACGATGCCAGTCGATAAGTGGGTTATTCAAAGCGCCCGCTGCGCCCTCTCGAGAGGGCACAAGAGGTACTCCGCTGTCATATGCTACGATAGGGTTGGTTGCTGAACCACCATCGTTCAATTTGACAAAGATGGTATCGCTGTCTTTGTGTGTGACATCGAAGCTGTTCTGGGGGTTCTTAGAGTATGCAACACCAAGAGACTTGAAGTTGTAGATCAGATCGGAGCATCCGTCGACGCGAAGCCATACGACGGCAGTGATCCAGTGGTGTTTATGCTGCTGCTCTTTACCCATAACCTTGGGCAAGTACCAGCTGTAGATCACACCCCATCTCCCGTGAGACTTTCCAACTCTGGCGTAAACTTGACCGCTCTGTCCAAAGTCACGACAGTCACCGCCCGCCTTGCCGGTTGGTCTTAAGCCAGCACTGAAATATAAAAACGTTAGCTTTGATACCGGAATCGAGTTCTTGTCTGAAAGGTTTACGTACCCAGCATTACCATTGGCGTCGACTGCAGGGTACGGGATGCATCCGGAGTACGAATGAAGCAGCGGTCTGAAGGTAGTCTCGATCTCTCCGGTAAGATCATAGCCAGGGATTTCCTCCAAAGCGACTATTTTGTTGTGACCCAACCATTTATCTTCGACTGCCACATCACCACCGCGCCTCCAGTGACTTGGCGGTGGTTGAGAGGGCGTTGCGTTGGCAAAGCCGAGTAAGGATAGAATAAGGATAGAAGTCAACATTGTCATGGCGGAACCGGGCTGCGATGAGTTCTTTGGATAAACGGCATTATTCTAGTAAAAGCAGTCTCGAAGTGGAAATACTATGACATTTATTTAAGCCAGAGGGAGTGCATGACCTGAGGCTGGAAGTTCTATAGACGAACAAGCTGCGGAGAAATCGGACATGAGCGATACGAAAGTCTTTATTGAGCAATAAAACTAAACTATGATCTGATGGGTAAGTTTAATTCCTGGCCGTGTATTTGCGGGTAGCAGTCTACCTGCCCGAGGGTTTGTGCAACAGTCTTTTGACCTGGAAATGCCAAGCGTAAGAACAGCCGAATAAATCAGCTTTAGCAGGTTGAGTACACTGCGGCAATATCCGCACCTATATGTCAGAGACCCACACAGGACTGGCAAGCAACTAACCCTATCTAATTGAGTTTGTTAGAGGTGCGAGAACAAATCCGCAATCATGTATCCTTTCGTTCAGTCTTTCTCGTGTCGCGCGAGGCACACAAGGGTCTACAAAGAGGTCAGTGACATTCTAAGCTATTGACACGGAGCCGGATGAAAATGATAAAAGGTGCACTGCAGCCTCCTGGCCTATCGACTCCATCAGATAATTCTACTCGTGTCCCGTGTTTTGTGTACCAGGCTATCGGTCGCTTTCTTACTATTTGTCTCGATTGGATATCCTTCTTTAAGTATACTGGCAACCAATCTAGACCAAGATGAAGTTCCTTCACATCCTTTCCTACTGCGTTATCGCGTCAGGCCTCGCCGTACCGAATACTGCGCCCGAAGCGGAGGTCTCCGTTCGCAATCCAGCTCAGGCGGTCTCTGTACGCACCGACACCTTCAGCTCAGCCGGCATCTTCTCTCGAGACCAAAGCAAAGCTTGGAGGGAAGCAGAGAAGGTCGTAGGGAGGCCACTTGAGCACGGCAAAGTGTATTATTTCATGTCCTGCAACCCGGCGTATCGCAATCATTATGCTACGCGGGATGCCTACTTGAAGTATGTTATAGATCAAACCGACTGCGTTCACGTTGGTTTGGTCGTTGGAAAGACGTCCAAGTGGTTCAAGAAGTTTGAGGCCGAGTACCTGCACGTGAGAGTCGATGTGGACAACAACCCGGACGAATGGTACCAATCGCGACACGACTGGGATGGTCCTATCATTGATCAACGGTTAGTGACTATTCAATTTATCCTCTAGGCGGTATTCGTGCTTTGTGCTGACTGGAACTTTGATAGCATTACCTTTGGCGGAATGACAGACTCGACCAGTATTAGCAAACTGTGGAAAGCTGGTGGGTATCTTTCGATCTGTTCTTTCGCTAAGGTTTACTAACTGAAATACAGGCAAGCAGTGGGTTAAAGATGCCGGTAACCGCATGGATGCAGACTGGAATTGCCTGCAATATTACAGACATCTGGTCTCTCTTATTTGAGAATAGATTTCTCATTGAATTCACATGCAAGTCGAGAAAGTGGAAAACGGCTGTTCTATAGCATTCAATGATGCAATGACACTCCTTCAGAGATCCAGTCCTATTGGTCCTAGTTCTCCCAATTTTCCATCGCCTGCTCAAAACGCGCCAACCACTCTTCCCTGGCTCGCACAAAATACTCTTTTCTTTCCTTTTCTTAGTCGAATATCCATTATCTCAATAAACATACCCTCCACATCCGGGTATCGATTTCGACGCCACTTATTCCCAGCAAATTGCCATTCAACACAATTTTGGCCTTCTTGCTCAGAGATGCCTTAAACTTCGAGCTGAGTCTCGTGGCGCCTATAACCTTTGTGCCGGGATTGTGTGACCAGTCAGTGATCCAAGAAAAGAAGGCTAGCGTTGTTTGCATGCAGTGAGTAATAGATAGAGTCGCATATGACATCCAAACGTCCTGTGGTCGTTGCAATGAAGTTGACCATATTCGTATAAATTGAATTTACAATCATGTCATAGTCGACTCCGATGTCGTTTCGTAGCGTTTCAGAGAGCAGTCCCAAAGTTCGAAAAACTCTATCCTTTGATTCAGTCGTCCCTTTGTTCCTGCATGCTCTCATCACTTCCAACAAAGAGTACTCGCCAAAGATGAACCCGGTAAGGGATCGACTCTTTGGAAGACTCGAAGGGCCATGGTTTGCTAGGATCGCGGAGTAGGTGAAGTGATTCCGTGAAACTCCTGTATAGGTCTTTCCTTGTTCAGTACCAGACAGATAGCGGTTCAATCCCTTCTTATTGCTCCGGAAACACTGGCAGCATCCGTATAAGTTTCCCATGGAAGAACACTGGAGCTGCAGTAAACCATAATCTTGCCAGCATTGAATACCTCTTGAACAACCCACAGTTGATTCCAAATCTCCCTCTCAAAGACAGAAATTACAGCACGAACCCCAGCCTTCCTATTGCCCGATGAAATAAGTGGCGTGAAGTCTCTGGCATCTGATTTCCGAGCAACCTCTCTAAAATAGAAAAACCTTGTTGCAATGTCACTCTAATTTGCTTCAGGTCCCAGCCAGATGGTGACAGACTAGGCCGACTGTAGATTCTGTTCATGAGCTGAATTTTCTGTGTCTATTCTAAAGTCTGTGTCTATTCTACAGAGTTTTGTTGGTCAATGCTGAGTGCGTCGAAGTGCCATCATAGCGCCATGGAGGCTGGAAGAAACACGAATTTCTATGCCATCGAGTTCTAAGCGTTTGGTGTCTCCCGGATCCCCCAAGGTGTAAGATATAGCACTGATGCTTGGTAAGCTTGTGATGAATCCGTGCAATATTTCGAGCTTGATTGTGGAGATCCTTGTCGAGAGAACTCTGATCAAGCGGAACTCGTCTCTGCCGAGCTATCTATAACTATAGACTTTGTCACCGAAGCCTCGACGTGCGCTAGTAGAGCGCGGCTCCGTAACCAACAGTTCATTCGTTGCAAGGCCGAATGCAACGTTGTTCCAGTGCATAGGCCTCTTGTTCTAGAGAGAGCGTGCTTCTTGAAACGGGCTATCGTAGCCAGACTCTACAGCTGTGGAAGAATGACTTGTATGATAGGTAACTACGTTTGGGGTGTTGTCCTTTTCTTCTGCCGTAGTTCGTTGTTGGAATGGTAGCGTCGGGCGAGGAACCGAAAGATACCGCAAGTCATCTTCATGAGAGCCTTTGATGTTCCTGTCTGCCGTGTTCGCAGGCTATTGCGGTTGCTATTCTACGATGATAACGAGTTGCGAAAGACATCAAGCTTTGGAAACAGGGAAAGCAACACAACGTCGCAAAGTAGGGGGTCCAAGTTGTGAGTGAGGCTGAGGATATGCAAAGGCCAAATGAAAGGAGGGGGTGAGAAGCAGAATCTATGGATTTATTCGGGTTTGATATGCGGGCCACTAAGATCTGACTGTTCACACAATCTGCCCACAAAGTGTCGGTACGCGCAGCATTTATCAGCTTCCACAGTAAGTATAACATTGTTTCCGCTGATATTCACGAAGCAAAGCAGACGCCAAGTTTTATAAATCTGGTGGTGAAATCACACACAAGGCTGGATATGACAAGAAGTCTCGGCGCCTTAGTCCTTATTGATTAATGACATGAAGTCATCAATTTGTCACACACTAAGAATCCAGGACTAAACAACCGATCAACCACAGTTGATGACAGAAACATCTTACTTCAGATTAAAATGGCCAATAGAGAGTGAATTGGAAAGCTATCCATATATCCATAAATTCCCCAATATCTTTCGGTAACATGAAATTGAGAGAATACTAATTTAGGCAGATATTGATCTACATTCATCCTCAGGAGCCAGGGTGCAAACTATTGAGCCGTCCCCTGTTTACTTTGCTTGGTGACTGAGCCGTTGCAGAGTAAAAAGGGTTTCCTTTGACAACTGACAATGTATCAATGATGGAAGGCTTCGACTCTAAGTTCTTAGAAGTTCTTGTAGACTTTCATCTACAAATCCTTGTAGTCATCATCGTAAGAACCAAGGAACAAGTTGGTGGCGGCCTTGCCAGCAAGCTGCTGAGTAGCCTTCTCGATGTCAAAGAGCTGAACGTCCTCAAGCTTGAGGCTGAGACGAGAGTCGATTCCGTAGACGACATTGGCAAGGAAGTTGTAGATAACACCGGAAGCGGTCCTATAAGTGAAGGAAACCTCAGCAGAGACGCGGTTGATGGTCGATTCGAAGAAGTTCTTCTTGAACTCGTAGCTGCGCATGGAAGCGGTAGAGCCAGGGGTACCGCCAACCAAGGGGTTGAGGTGGAACGTAGTGACTCGGTTGGTGCTGTCGACGACGGCCTCGAGGATGAACTTGATGGCGCCGTTGAAGATGACGTTGCCGCCCTTGAGGGTGATAGTGAAGAGGTTCTTGCGCTTAGAGGGAGGAAGCTGGCGGACGGCCAGCTCGGTGTTGGGAAGGGCTTCCTCGTCTGAGTCGCTGCGCTCGAGGATCTCAATGGCAGTCTCGTCGGAGGCGGCGCGGCTGAGAAGCTCGTCAGAAGACGAGGGGCCGGAGAGGTCACGCGTTTCAACAACAAAGTCACGCTCAGCCAAGTCGACGGTTTGGAGTTCGGTGGGAAGAGCCATGGCCATGGACGCCAAGGCCACGGCGGTGAAGATGGATGCAGAGAAGCGCATGTTGAAAGAATGTAGATGATCAGATTGAAATGATTGTGTGTTCAAGGAATGAGAGAGACTGTGATGATGAGATAGGAAAAGATGACTCTTGGCAGGCAGAAGAGGCTCTCTTTTAAGGCCAGAAGCCACTCGGCGACGACTTCAAGAGAACTCGCTCATCTCACAATCATGAAGGTTTTCCTACGTGAAGCCGTGAGAAGTCTCAAACAGGCCGAGGCATTCTCACTCCGTCTACTCCGAATGGAATGAATCTTGAAAGCATCGCGTTGTAAGTTCGCATTCATAAATCTAGGTTTGTTATTCATAGAGTTGGCCTTCCCTAAAACGTACGAAGCATTTAGGCAATTTAGTGTGCCTCTGACTGTATAACTCGTATGCACAGGTCAACTTTCAGTCTTTCCCTTAGAAAAAACCCTACGTGGTGAGACGAACGATTACCAACTACGCTAGACAAAGCTTAAATCAGCATCCCCCAAGGTTCGGTTGGGCCGAGATAAGCAACACAAACAGCATAGCTCCTTTTTAGGCTTCAAAAAAGTTGACAATAGCCAGCAACTGCTCTCAAAAGCCATACAAAATTATCCCGCCGGTGTTCCATTCCCCTTTTTGCCAGCCTAGGAAGGCGGCCGAAATTACACGATACCGCATTGAAGTCAAAAGTTTCCATCAACCACACTCACTTAGCCTATTCGTGTTCATTTAATATGTTTTTATCGTCGGTCGACTCTTTCACTTGAACTCTTGCTAGGAAACTATTCGGCGAAGTTTCCTTCGTCGTTCTCGTTTGTCAACATGTTCCAGAGCCGATGCTATGCCAAAAGAGGATTGAACGAGGCAATTTAGAAGGCCGAGATGAGGCGAAAGAAACTTACAGAAGGACCTCTAAACCACGAACTTGCCTGCAAGCTCAATTGTGCGTATTGAGCCTCGGTCCGACTCCGTCGAGAGCTTACAGATCTTTGATATAAATCTCACGATTGCGCCCCAATAAGTGCATGTACATCCAGATCTTCATTACAAAACTCTCGAACTATCACAAGACATCTTTAGCCAAACTCCTGCCACTCTTTTCAATTTTTTGCTTTTGCAGACTAGACAATACCATTCAAGATTACAACAGTACGTATGCCTTTGCTACACCTCCAAGCCGCGATTCTAACATCTTTGCAGTGCAGTTCAGCTCTCTCACTTTCGCTGTCCTCCTCTGCGCAGCTTCAGGCGCTCTTGCCCAGAACCAGCCAAGAGACAAGTACAAGTGCTATGTGCCTTTCGATACTTGCAGCAAGCCCATCCCAGCGGAGCTGAAGGCATCAATGGCCAAGGAATTCGGAACCCGCAGCCAATGCAGAACAACAGAAGTTGTGTACTACGGCGCCCCCGACGCCGCGATTGAGGGCGTGTACTGCGAGCCTGGACCCGTTCGTGGCATGGGCGGATTGTTCCGCTACAGCGTCGGTCGCGTTTCTACCGAGTGCCACGCGAAGTGCGAGATCTGGGGCTAGACACACATGAGCAACTATGATCTTCAAGAACGGAGATCACTGTGTGGCGGAGAGATAGCTAGCTAGGTTAGGATAGATGGCCCGAGTTCAATACTGTTTGCCTCGCTTTCCTTTCCAGGCTGTACAGAAGACGTTAGGCACTTTGCGTAAACAACTCATACCTTGAATGTTCGTTGGCCACCGTTGATTGATCTCAACTATCAAGTGGTCCGATTCGTCCCTCAAAGCGATGTATAGCAATGTTAATTGCTTTGCGTGAGTCATGAGATGCATAACGTATCGTGTTGACGATTTAAACGTGGATAAGCTTTGATTCAAGCATTTGCCAAGCAACTCCTCAATATTACCCGCTAGCTTTCCAACGTAATCACAGATCACACGCATAAAAGGCGTTCAAGTTTTTCCAGGCTTCCATTGTCTCTTTGCAAAAGGGCCCGTGTTTCACATTCAAAGAGGACGGAGGTTTGAGCTTCATAAATTCCAAGTAAAAGCAATCGATATCAGCAGATATTATCAGATGTTCCGACCGAGAAGTCGTAAGACACAATGTATTGAACCAATCGTTGTATGAATTAAACGTAGTTATATCGAATTCGCATGCTGCAATGCCATCTGTTTGTTTCCCTCATCATGGCCGTTATAACAGAAACCAACTCATGAACCTTTGAAGAGCCCGCCGAGTGCACTGGACGCTCAGAAATCGGTAGAAGCGGAAATCGACTCCCACTCATCAAGAAGAGCCATAGTGCTCTGACACTTGTCTCGAACAACCGCAAGACAGTCAGTGCCCAAGACCAGCCTCTGAGGGATCTCACGGCCCTCAGCAACCCCAGACTTGGTCAGAACATCCACGACCACACGCGCACCCTTGATCGGGTCACCAGGCTGGTTGTTATCCACAGTCTCCAACACTTTCCTAACTTGGCCCGCTGCGCTATCGGTATACGCATCAACAGACTGCTCAACTTTGATGCGTGCACCGGGGTTCAGGAAACCGGTGCGGAAGTAGCCCGGCTCAAGGATGCAGACGTCGATACCGAACGGCTTCAGTTCGTCGTGGAAGCCTTCGGTGAGCAGGCTGACGGCAGCTTTGGTGGAACAGTACATGGCAAAGGCTGGACCGCTCTTCCAGCTGCCGAGACTGCCAATATTGACGACGGCGCCGAAGCCTTGGGCGCGAAGGTGGGGAGCCACTGCGCGAGAGACTTTGAGAGTACCAAGGACGTTGGTGTTATACTGGTCAAAGACTTCCTTGGCGCTGGCCTCCTCGATGGTGCCTTCGAGGATATAGCCGGCTGAGTTGATAACGTGCGTCACTTTGCCGTGGAGGGCGAAGGCCTTGTTGACAGTCCCTGTGACGGTAGCCTCGTCGGCGGTGACGTCCAAGGGGAGGAGATCGGCGCCTGCGGAGGCAAGATCAGAGAGTTTGGCTGGGTTGCGCGCGGTTGCGATGACGCGGTGGCCACGCGAGAGAGCTTCTTTGGCAATGGCGAGGCCGAATCCTGAGGAGGCGCCAGTGATGAACCAGACTGGGGAATCCATCGTGAAGGTGAAGTATCTCGGTGTGAGTAGTAGTGAAGGGGATTGGTTTGAGTAGCAAAAGTTGTGGAGATTTATTGCAGGTAAGACAGTATGAAGCTCTTGTTCTAATGTGTTGATAATAATGGAACTCCATGCATCAACAGAAGCGGAAACATCCTGTCTCTTATAGCCTGGTGACCTGTATGCTGTAAGTCTACTTCAACTGCTTTACAACAAGAGAGAGCAAGAATCCTCCTGCATGTCAGATCCATAGAACTCGTCCATCATTCAAGCCACTCGGCGATAGATGCCTGGTAGTGGCCTATCAATGGCTTGTACGACACGGAGATTAGAATCAATAGGTCCATGCCAAGTGATGTCAAAGGTTCCTTGCCGCAAGGTCTTTTGTTCGTCAAACTCGAGGGGTTGGACTGTGGACAGTGATGAAGAGATGCTTCCGTGATGGCCTCTGGTGTAAGTGAAGGTGGCGTTAACGCCGAAGGATTTATGGAGAAGATGCCGACCATCGGGGATAGGAGATGTGGTCCATCCGTTGGAGATTAGAGTGCATGGACTGGGACTAAGGTGAACCAAGGTAAGTTCCTCGATAATTGGACCTCCTCGTCAGCCAGTCTTTTGCGAGCTGACGTTGATCAAATACACTACCTCAAAAGAATGTTTGCGACGACGGCTTGGCCTTACATGCCGGTGCCGTGTGTCGAGTGCGATGTTGACATCCCAACCCCAGAATTCCTCTAGCGTTTCCCAGGCGGCGTGCGGAGCGGTGGATCTGGCTCCGTGAGTGGAGCCTCCCTCGGCATATTTCCACCTCGACCACCCAATGCCCCGACCACTCGGCGGGGACCTCGTGGGACCTGAGTCGCATTGCATCTCAGGGTCTTTGACAGAACACATTTCTCCCCGCCCAACATGGCGGCGGTCGCAACCTGAACACATTGCGCAAAGAGAAGCCGTCGGGCGCGTACCTATCGAACAACCCAGATCACAGTCCCAGAGCAGCATGAGCCTGCTGCGCCCGACCTGGCCGCCGTCACCATCATGGGTCTTCTGAACTCCCTCCCGAAGCTACCCCTCGTCGGGTCGATCCTCATAGTCCTCTGCTCGCTCTTCACCCCCACGACCGCCTACACCGAACTCGGCGACGAGGCCCTCCGCGCGATCCCCTCAGGCGGCGATGGTTTCAACATTGACACAGGCTCGCTGCTGGCTCCCATCCTGATTCCCCGCGTCCCCGGCACTCCGGGCTCACTCAAGGTGCAGCAGCACTTTGTCGACTTCTTTCGCGCCAACCTGCCCGAGTGGATCATTGAGTGGCACAACTCGACATCCAAGACGCCCGCGACCGGAGATAAGGAGATACCCTTCACGAACCTCATCTTCCGCCGCGACCCGCCGTGGGCTAAGGGCGGAGATGTCGAGTATCTGACGCTCGTAGCGCACTATGACAGTCTGTACCACCCGGAAGGGTTCATTGGGGCGATTGACAGTGCGGCGCCCTGCGCGATGCTGCTCCACGTGGCGAGAAACATTGAGGAGGCTCTGGTGAAGAAGTGGAAGGCGATGGAGGCCTCAGGTGATGCTGGGAGCGGGCTTGAAGAGGAGAAGGGCGTCCAGATCATTCTGCTTGATGGAGAGGAGGCATGGGTGTCGTGGACGGACACGGACTCGCTCTATGGAGCCAGGTATGTTTGGTGAATCTCTGCGTGACTAGTTTGTCTGTCTAACATTCTCTAGGGCGCTCGCCAAGAGCTGGGAAGACTCTGTTCACCCTGATGGTCTATACAAGACTCCTCTTTCGTCCATTAGCCTCTTCCTTCTTATCGATCTCCTGGGTGCCCCTAATCCCCGGATACCATCTTACTTCCCTTCCACGCACTGGGCGTATAAGAAGATGGCAAAGATCGAACATCGCATGCGCGAACTGGATGTCCTCGAAACCAAGCCAAAACATCCTTTCCTGACAGACAGGAACAAAGAGAAGGTCGGCTTCGGCGGTGGGTACGTCCTGGATGACCATGTGCCGTTCTTGCAACGAGGTGTCGAGATCCTACACATCATCCCGACGCCGTTCCCCGACGTATGGCATAAAATTGAAGACGATGGTGCCCACCTAGACCTACCAACAGTACGGGATTGGGCGCGTATCCTCACGGCTTTCGCGGCAGAGTGGATGGAGTTGGATGAGCACCTACCCAAGCAGATAGAGGGTGAGGCTGCTAGCGATTCGAGCGACGTCAAAGATGAGCTATGATTTATACTGTTTGAAGCGATGCATTTAGACCACATAGATAGCTCTCCGCTTTCGCAATCTCATAGTAACAAGTTCGTCCATGTCCTAGAACAGGATTCATGGCACTATCTGAACCATCGTATCTCCAACATGAGGATTGCTTTACAGATATCGCTTCGAGACTCATCAACACAAGCATCTCGATCATTCTGCCTGTCTGGACCTAAAGACCTCTAGGCTGATCCATTGGCAACCACTTTTTGTCTCGTCTTTTGGTAAGGTATTCAAAGTACTTAATCAGATGCTAGAGAATGAGATGTCATTACCTGTACTGTACCAAGCACGGTGCTAACAGAAATGGTACTGTCTACAGGGTCCCGCTATAGTTGGACCGTGCACGGTCGGTAGTTCGTAAGGGACACGAAAGCTGTCCATAAGTGAACGGCCTGTGAAGTGAAGCTCTCAAGCCCAAGCTAAAGCTGCCAAAGACAAGCACCCTCAGCAGCACAATGCGATTCCTCAACTCCCTGACGCCAGCCCTCGCGCTGTTTGCGGCCGGTGCCGCGCAGGCTGCCTCATCATGGGGATTTGACAGTGTCACTGTCTCGATTACTGGCAAGGGCAAGGATGCCACCAAGGAGAAGTGAGTTGCTGCCAATTACGCTTTCTGGAAGCTCTGCGATGGGCAGGAGGAAGGAAGCCGCGATGCAAGAGAACTTCCAATTGCTGACGAATTGACCACTCAACAGGTTGAGCGCGACATCTCCTCTTAAGACTGCCCTCTCCCTGGGAGCCAAGGATACTCTCAAGGTCATCTTGACGGCCAAGGAGGGCGACAAGGCCAAGCGCCCGCACCAGGCCTTCTTGATCCTCAAGGAAACCGAGTCTGGCCTCGAGGCCCCCTTCCCCCTTGAGCTCAAGGACACCGGCCGCGGTGTTGTCGACATCGTATGTTTTTCAATCTACTCCAACTTTCAATGGCAAGTAAACGAAAGCTAATTCCCGTGAAATACAACAGGCCCAGAAGGACCTCCCCGTCCAGCTCCTCCTCGCCAACGAGCCCCTCAAGGCCAGCATCGTCATCGGCTCCTTCGGTGCCGCCAAGGCCCTCGAAACCACCCTCTTCGACGTCTCCGTGACCCGCGACGCCAGCGCCGCTGCCCCGACTTACGACGCTCCCCTCCGCTACGGCAAGCAACCCGAGATCAGCCACATCTTCCGCGAGGACCCCCGCAGCCCTCCCAAGATTATCTCGCTGGCCTTTGTCATCGCCGTTCTGGCCACGATTCCCGTCCTCCTTATTGGCGTACGTATTTATTCCTCCATGTTTCCGTCTTCAATTGCAAGGAACAAAGTGTCCTGTAACATGGAAATGTAACCTTCCCTGACTGACTTCCCATTCTGTAGTGGCTCTCTCTCGGCGCCAACGTCAACCACATCCAAAAGGCCCTCGGTGCCGCGCCTCTCTCCCATGTTGCCTTCTTCGGATCCATCGTCGCCATGGAGGGTGTCTTCTTCATGTACTACAGCGCCTGGACCCTCTTCCAGACCCTGCCCGCCGTCGCCATCGTCGCGACCTCCATCTTCCTGAGCGGCACCAAGGCCCTCGGCGAGGTCCAGAGCCGTCGTCTCTCCGGTCAGCGGTAAATGCTGTTCTCGTAGGAGGACTGCATTTTCTCAGAACAACACAGCAGGACCATCCGCAGAAGTGTGGATCAAGGGGGGCCAAGGCAATGAGGAAAACGGTCACGGGGTTGCTTACCAAGTCATGCCACGGGCGGTTCAGGTCTTGGCACCAAATATAAGGGGCCTAAGAAGGGGTGTGGAGGAGACGAGAAACCCCAATTGTACATCAGCATACATCACGACAGCATCCGAGCATCTGTGAATTAGACACAAGACCAAGAGTCAAATGGAAAGGGTGATTTCGAACCAGGAAAATGAATATTCCAGACCATCTATCCTTGAGGTACCTGACGCCATGCTCGCTCTACTCATCAAACAAAAGAAACCAACAAACAGTCATTACTAATATCCAACGACCACGTTCAAGCCTTCTCCTGACGCTCCTTCTCATCACCATTCCCCAGAACCTCCACGCTCCGACTCGCCTCAACGCCAACATTCATAGACGAAGGCCCGGCAGCAGAATACGCAGGCGGCGGCACATCGTCGCCCGTAGAAGCCCGCCTCCTCTCCCCAACGCCCTCCTCCTGCCCAGATGACGGGCCAGCACGGGACATGTTGTTGCTGCCGTTGTTGTTGAAATATCCCTGCTGCTGCTGTTGCTGCTGCTGCTGATAAGGCCCAGCAACGCCCATGAACCCAGCAGTATCATACCCGTACCGTCCCCTCCTGCCCCCACGCTGCTGCGCCCTCATGGCATAAATGACAGCTTTCCGCTCGTCGCGCGCGGCTCTACGTTCGCGTTTGGCCTCGCGGCCTTTGCCGAAGGGAAGGGCGACTTTGCAAATGCCGCAGGGCTGGCCGTCGGCTCCCGTGTGGTTGTGGCCTTCGTGGGTGCCAGCGACGGTACTAGGGGCAGCACTGCCGGGGATTGTGACGGGGGACTGGTTATTGTGGTTGTGACCGTAGGGGTTCCGGCCGGCGGCGGCGTGGACTACGGTTGAGACGAGGCCGGTGATGAGACCCATTGTGTGCTGATAGTGTGCTGCCTTTGCTTCTGAGGTTGGAGATTGGAGGCTGGAAAGCTTGGTGACGGATCTTGATGCTGGGATGTGGCTGGTAGAATGGACGTGTACTTTATGACAGATGTGCCAATATGCTTCAGATGATGGATATTTGCTGGTCTATCTGGGGGAGGATCTTCAAAGTATGCTGCCTGATGATGTTTGATGCTCGATGATGATTGATGCTTCTGATGCTCTTCCAAATATAAAACTCCAACTCATCAGGAATCTTCCTCCTCTTTATATCGAATGTCCTCCAGAGTACAATATCAACAAAGAGGGGGGGGGGGGGGGCACCACCCATCATTCCCATCTCGATTCCCACAAGCCCATATCGGCGCCCTCCAAGCTGTCTTCCTCCATTGGGAAGTCGATTCGAAAGCATTTCCCCAGAGCCCAGAGGCGCACAGCGTTCTGGCGTAGCAGGCAGGACAGCGACCCAGCAGCGAATCTCCTGCCAAGCCACGGCAGCCATGTGGGGCCAACCCGGCACCGTGCTGCCGGATCCGCCCAAGTCAACCACTCGAAGCGGCCCTCGCGAGCCCCGGGGCCCAGTGGCCCCCTCTTTCGATCAAAGGTGCGAGGTGTTGGTTAGCCTCCTGCACTCCTTCGAGACTTCGACTTCCCAGGCCCCTACATGGATGGCTGAGCAGCCACGCAATAGAGGCTGCTGTGGGAAGGGGGGGGAAGGATGTCAGCATGTCAGCATCGTTCGCACTCGGCTAAGTGACCAATGATGGCTGACTTTGTACGATCTTAGCGTGGTTCAGGTACGGCGCAGCAGTCGTAGTCTTGATAGCGTCCCGCGGGTAAGACATCCTTGAAAGTAAGGTAGTGGGGGCAGAGTGAATTGTGCCTCTGTGAGCACGGTGTCTCCGGTTGAGCCAACAAATATTCTCGACCACGATGGTTACTGAAATGCGAATGCGGAGAGGTAAGAAGAAAAAGCAGGAATGTCCGTAAATGAAGGCCGGCTAACCGGCCGGCGGCTATGCCATGCATGCGTATATACGGGGAAGAACGGCCTTCGCCTATAGTCGTTGGCCAAAAAAGGGCAAATAGCTAAGGTAGATAGCCAAAAATGACTTCATATCATGCATATCTCCATCGTCGTCTTGTCTGCCGCTATGGGTCGTACGTTCCATTGGACGCTGCCACGAGCTCCCACCATGCCCGCATCAAAGCCATTCCGCCGTTCTGCGTCTCCGGGGTCCTACCCCGACCGCGGTCGTTCGGGTCACCGATCGCTGCCATTGACTTCACGCGCCGTTCGGATCCGACCTCGTCCGCTTTATGAGATCCCTGTCTATCGGAACCGCCAAGAACCTGCTGTCCAGAGTGTTCATCGTCACCGACCAAGACGTAGCCCTTTTTCTCATTCTTGCGCGCCTCGCCGTTTGGTGCCCATACCTCGTCCGGGTTACCATGGGCCCAAACGCCGTCATGCGGGAGCCCATAATTGCGGTAATCGGTCACGTTGGGTGCGTCGTGAGGAATTCCGTCCGTCTGCATTGTCGGCGCAGTTTTCAGAAAAATGCCTGCTCCCCACCACGTACCGAAACGGCCTTCTCTGTCCTTAGTTAACAAGGCCGCTTTGGCATTGTGCTCAACCCATTTCAGATAGGCCTGGCAGGCCGATGCGTGGGTCATCTTGACCTGATCGTACGCTTTTGCGTTTACAGTCATGCCGCGCTCAACGATGGCGGCGTCGAGTGGCTGGCAAAACGTTACAAAGTGATGGAAGAAAATGCCCTTGAAGGTTTGCCCGTCCTGGGAGCAAGTCGCGCTAGCATCGCAGGTTTCTTCCATGACACCTCCTCGGCCTAGGCCTCGCCAGGGGGGCAAGTAACCTGGAGGGAGCTTTGACAAGTCATCAACTGGCTTGTTGAGCCTCAAATCCCAGCCCGAGGCTTTGATGACGTTTTGGATCAGCCTGTGCCCATCTTCCAGGTAAGAAGCACTGCCTGTGGCGGCAAATAGGCCTCTTTGGCCAGTCAAGAGCACTCCCTGGTTATAGGTGAAGACAGCTTCACTGCGCTGATCACACTTGGTGTTGCCCGGTTTGGACCTATCAACATGATAGCCGTCAACATAGAGACCGGCATGATTGGTCATGTTGACGCCAGTGAGCCATCTGTAGCCTTCAATGGCAGCGGCGAGGTACTTGGGCTCCCGTGTGGCCTCCACACCACTGGCGCGGTTAACCCACGGCGTGGTGTTGTTATCACCGGGAAACCAGAGGTACATTGAGATCGAAGCCGCAATCCAGAGTTCGTTCGTGATGGCGTTCTTGTAGGGCTCCAATCGTGGGTTCCAGTTCATACCGCCGTCGCAGAGGCGTGTGTCCCAACCCTTGGACCCAAGGTCCCAGAAGATTCTGGCTCGGTGAGCAAAAGATGGTATCCAATATTGCCCGTGCCAGGGCCCATTTGCCAAGGCATCTCCCAGGCCTGGGGTTGCGCTCTCGTTGAGGCCTCCCCGGGGATAGAAGAGCTCTGAATGTATGTCAATAAACTTGATGGCGTCTATCCAACCAAGAACAACCCAAAGAATGTCGTCGAAAGCCTATGTATTGGTCAGCATGCGCTACTCGGGGGTGATGCTGATGAAGGATAGAGACGCACCTGATGGCGGATCGCAACGTCGTCCTGGCCAAAGTATGAGGCCACGAGTTGAGTGAAGAAAGTATCAATGAGGTTTCTTTTGGCACCCTTATCACCGCTTCCTCCGATGTCGAGCACAGCCAATGCTTGCGAAAGCGAAGTCAACGAGCCCGACAGCATCGTTTCCATGACGGCCGCAGTCCAATCGATGGCTTCGGGCCATGTTCCCTGATCCGATACGAAGAAGTCATGTTGCATCACAGTAAGAGCTTCGAAGGTGGCCTCGAGTGGCTCGTCTTTGGCCTTCGCCGTATAAGCCGTAGCTTCTCTTTTAACCTGGGGGGTTTCCAAGAAGGACGTAGGTTGTCTCGGTTTGCAATCGGTCGGAGGCTGGGTTTCGGCATGGAAAATGGGGCAATACGTCTCGGGCGCATTCGGAGGAGTCGCAACGAGGGCTGATGCGCACGAAGAAAGCGCAAGCACCGAGAGGCAAGTCTCGGGCAGTTGGAGGATCGATCGACGCATGATGGAAGAATCGGTATCGAAATCAAAAGATAAGACAACCCAGTTAATGATGGCGAGCAATCAGCTCCAGAAAAGGCCGCTCATGTATGGCAGCGCTCTGCCATGTTCAGAAGGACTTCGCAGTCGCCGAAGCGGGAATTCGACAATGATAATATGCACGAGGAATTGACCAAGTTGAAGAGAGAGGGCACGCGACGAGGTGAAATGCGGAGGAACGATGCGATGCAAGCAGCAATGCGGGAAGCCAGTGGAAAAGCTGGGGAAGGGCAAGACAAACGGCGGCCGGGCAAAATGCGGGAAGGAAGCGAGCGATGGCGCAGGGCTCTTTGGCGATGGACGGCCCAGAGTCGAGGACCAGGCCAAGCCCGTTTTCGCAGGAGAACCTTGAAAAAAAGATCCACCTGCACGAGGCAGATGGACCCCTCAAAGTCCCCTCAAGACTCTAGTGGTCACAGAATGGCGCACCGAGAGGTCACAGAACTGACAGAAGTGGGTGGTGCAAGCGGTGCGTGGTGGTCACCTCCCACCATCCACCATCTTCCATCCCTCGGAAAGGTGGCGGCGCCGGCCACTAGAACAAGTTCATGCGGGGCATTTCTGGCGGCGCCAAGACCCTGCGCTTTGTCCTGTCAGTCTGTCACTGAACTCACTGCCCTGGGCGGGAGGGAATCGGTGCATTTCCTTTGCCGATCGAGTACGGCTAACCGATGAAGAAGACCTGGGTTGCAGAAAACAAGCTGATGTAACCTCCTTGCCTGCCTCTACTACCATCATCGCCATGTGTCGAACGAGCATTCTGCGCAAGAGGCCATTCGAAGGATGTTTAATT